CCCCCCCCCAGACTAAACAAATCACAGTGAAGATCCTCTTATGAAACACATGCCTATTTCAGCTTATCTACCATTGTAAATTTCTTTGCTACAGCCCTATCATGTTATTTTCTTTAACTTCCTCCATATAGCTAGGATTTTGACATTATTTGCTTTAACTTTTCAACAGCACTTTTTTTTAAAGAATCTTCACCAACAGAGAAGTTTCTTTCAGAGCTCCTGAAGGGTTTTCTAGGCATACTGGGAATAAGAAAGAGTAAGTTTCTCGCTCCTTATCTTTTATAGAGGTGAGCAACTTTCTTCACAAATATGCAATATGGAATTTGGATCATTTTTGCAAAAGAACAGATTCAGAGAAATTTCTGTCTTAGGTTCCTTCAGTACATGGTACAAAATCACATTTAACTCAAGCATTTCCAACAGCTGAGATATCTATCACCATATTTTTCTGTTACATCTTTAACATATAAACTGTAACAAGTTATTACATTAAATCATGATGCAATTCAATTTCTCTGTAAGGTCTCATATGAAGTTTCATAATGTAAAGTTTTACACATACAGCAATATGTGGTAATTCAAGCTTTTAATCTTAAAAAAAAATAATCTGTCTTCCTCAAAATAATGAAAAACCACAAGAATGAGTATACAATGTGTGGCATTCTCATTCCATTTTTTACCAGTGCAAATGCTGCTAACATAAAGAATGAACAAAAATCATGACCTCTCACTGTTATATATAAGTACTACTACAGACTGAAGCAATTTCAAGGAAAGGCAAAAATCTTTAAATGAACTTCAAAACCTAGGAAAAAATCTTCTGAAATTAAATAGAAAATAATAAAGGCTAATAATGGAGGTGCAGAGGAAGGATTTTTTAGGATGTTTGAAAATCATACAGAAGAAAGAACCTCTCAAAGTGGGCAGATTATAATAAAAGGGAAAGGGGAAAGACTGTTAAGATTGCATCCATTTTGTCCACTTACAAAATGAAAATAGAAACTGAAGCTTAGAAACAGAACTAACAATTGATAATTTACCAAAGCAACGTGACCATGTAAGCAGTATTTGACTCTCAGATTTCATCCACTGTAAAAAATGACACGATGCACTAAGAGTTGACATTCTTTTCACGTAATGAGTAACACAGTGTTGACTTTTCTTGGACAAAAGAAATATTAAGAATATTGAAATTCAGCATTTCCATTCTAAGCATGTTTTTAGGTTATTATACCGGTACTACATAAAATTTTTCAGATAGTATCCTACATGTTCCTGGAAGTAAATAGTTGTAAACACTTGTACATACAAAAGGGAGGAATTCATTGCCATAGTCATATAGAGAAAGAACTGTTCAGATGGCATTGGACCCAGAAGTCCCAGAACCATGTAATGTTATCATTTATTCATCAGCACTATATGTCTTGAGTGCAGACTTTGTTTCAGGAAACTCTGAACTGCTGGAAATGGCATACTAAGGCATCATTTCTCAGCAGTTTAGTCACTATGCATCTTTTATGAACCTGATGCCTTACACCAGGCTGGGCTGAGGTCCAAAAATCAAAGCTGCACTCTGGTAAGTACAGAGGCATTGGTAGGAAAAGCAAAGAGGAGGAGACAATGGAGACATTCAGGCTCACCAATAAAGAACAGGTCACAACCAAAAACACTGTACTGAAACATGGTACTCATAAAGTGTGTATTTCTTATTATAAAATGAAAAATCACCTTTTATGTTAGGAATCATTAGTCTAACAAACAGAACTTTGTGAAAGGTCTCTAATGACTTCTAATAAAAAAAATCCAAAGTGAGATTCTGAAAGCCTTGTTTTAATGACACCTTGCACGCCAGGAAAAAAAGTATTATTTTTCTGATCATAACAATACAAATTTTGTACAATACTGCCATTACCCAAAAGCTCTACAAAATGGTCCTATAGCCTTTTCTGTTGGAACTAACTAGTCTGAGATAAAACAGATATCAAAATAACAAATATCAAAATAACCACCAAACAAAACATACACAATATAAGTAAATAATTAACAGTGCCAGAAATTGACACTACCACTGTATTATCCTCCTACCTCGTGAAGAGCAAATATTTCAATTTTAGCTCCTTTCAAATTATATTTATCTACATGTATAAAACAGTGAGATTTTATGGTGTACTCATTGCTGGAAGTTACTTCACAGTTCAATTTGTTGGAAAATGATCCATTCACAGCTTCCTTACTACTAAAGCAAGATAACACAGAAACACAACTAAACATTAAAACATGATGAGAGAGTTACACTATTCTTTGTAAGAGTTATTCTGTCTATTGCAAGAGTTATTTTAAATGTCTATTGCATGGGTTATTATTTTAAATGTCTATTGCACATTATATCTTTACTTAGTTCCAGTGCAAGCTTGCACTTACCTGGTCTGAATTTTAACAGATGCTTATTAGGAAAGCATGTATTCCACTCTAGCAGAACAGAGAGCTTATTGCAGAGCAATCCTTTCTACAGCACCAGATGCTACCACCATTCCACCCCACCTACTCAAAGAACTCACACTTCTCCATTCCAAAGGTTTTATACTATTACACCCCAGCCTTTACACGGATGTAAATACTCTGTAATACAGAGCTCTATTAGAACTGACGCAATGATGCTTAAAAATATTTAACAAATGGTGAGAGAAGGAAAATGCCATTATTATTTCCTTAAAGTAGGCCTGCTCAACAAAGTCATTTTGTGTTACAGTGGCATTTAAGTTCCTACTTTTATGATAAGAACACCTTGTTTTTATCTTAACCTCGCTTAGCAGAGTTAATCATATCAAGAGAAAGTGGGTTCTAATATTAAGCATTCTAATATTAAATGTTGGCAATTAGATAGTTGGTAAAGTCTACATTCACAAAAACAGGCATTAATAAAGAGGGCAAAATACAAAATTCCACGCAGTTTCACAAATGCAGTTACTGTGCTAATTTTTCAGGCTAAAACTACTTTCAATTTTACGCTGTATAAAACTGTTTTTTATAGAAGTATGTTTTGCTGAGAAAGGCTGAGCAGGTAAATAACAGTGCTTTAAAATATCAAGCAAATGTAAAAGTACTTTTGAGACATAGGGAAGAATTTGTCCTCTGTGTCATGTGAGAACAAAAATAAGCAAAATTATGAAGATATAAATAAGAAAACTGTTAGTACTTGCATAGATTATAATTAATTCTGAGTTTACCAAACTCAGTCAACCAAAAACAACCTTTAGAAAAAAAGAATTTTTTAACATTTGATGTAAGTATATGTTGCACTATAGAATGCATGGACAGGGAAAGAGAAAAAATATTACAGAAGTATACCTTTAATGTTTCAATTTCTTCTTTGTGTTCCCTCTTTAAATGCAAAATGGCAGCTTGGTACTCTGTAAAAACAAGAAGTACATTCCATTAGAGTCAGAAACAAACACATCTTCAGCACAGCATATTTTGTATCACACCAGCAAATCCAGAATGCAGATGCAGGTTCTCAAATAAAAGATCTGCAAATGATGATGGAAAAGAAAACATCAACATAGCAATTAACATTTTTCTTCTAGGACCACATGACCAGATTTTCAGTGGTTTTACTGAAAACAGAGGATAAAGAAAGTATTCCATGCTGAGAGGGAAAGATTGTGTAGAGGTATGTCAGACTGGAATAACAAGAGGAAACAAAAGATTTAGCTTTGCTAATAACAGCAGAGCTGGTAGGATATTGTGACATATGCATGCATACACTCACATGCTATAAAAGCATTTATTAAATACAATGTTTTAAGCAGAGCTGTAAATATACAGTCACCAAACATAAATTGGATACAGGACTAGTCACACATATGAATAGAGACCTGAAAATGCACCCAATCACATAAGATACAAAGAATTCTGCCAAATGAAGATTGATTACAGAGATAAGTACTTGCCAAAAAATTATACCATATAGTGAGCAACTCTGATATGGCGAAGAGGTAACACAATCCAAAGAATAGAATTTAGAGCAAGAGAAATTTAAGTCAGCAGTGAAAAACTGGACAATGCTGAACACTGATGATGAGCAAATTGGAGGATGTTGAGAATTGACTATACAGTTCTAGCAATGGCTGTAAAAGTGTAGAACTACCAAATAATCACTAGAACTCATATCTCATGCTGAAGTTTCCCTCAAACTATATTGTGACTGTATCTGACCAGAGGAAGAAGAGAGAATTTTCATTACAGTTGTATAATGATTCAAGAGAAGCCTGTCTTCTTTGAGACATTGGCCTAGATGCTATAGTCCTTCTTAACAAACAACTGGAGTTCATTCTTAGATCATTAAAGCTCCACTTCTATCAGCTTCCAGATCAAAATTCATCTGATGGTATATTTCCAGTTCGCTGGCTGGCTTCTGTATCCTGAACTAAAAAAGGAATCAAAACCTAAATTAAAGGACTGAAAATAGTCCAAGGAATTTAAAATTTACTGACAATGCTCTCAAACACTAAAGAGATTTGTATGGTGCCTGGAACAGAAAAATCATTAAAAAAGTATTATATCATCAAAGTATCAAGCAAAGATTAGTGATTTTCTCCTTTTTGCATTTTTCCTTTTCTCTTCAGAAGACATGGACATAAAAGAAAAGACAGATAACAGTTATCACCCCAAAGTCTGTATAATGAGCAATCTTTTAATGTAAAGCCTTTTTTTTTTTTTTTTAATATTTTGAGAGGCAGGTGAGGTTATATATGAGCAGCTGAATTTATAAACAAAATCAAAAGGAAAATTGATTGGTATTTTACAAGACACAAAATAAGAAACACAAGTGATTCTGACCAGTAGTACTATCCACCTAAACTTCCCCATCCTCTCTACGAAGATACTACTTTGTGCTTTCCAGCACAGGAAAACTGCCTGACTGCAGACTGAATCATAACCAGATAAATCTACAGGCTTGTGGGTTTTCCTCTATTAATTCTTCTGACTGGTTGTTGTGCTCCTCAGACATTGGCTCCGCTTATCTATTCACCTAAACTGGATTTTAAAAAGCATCTGCCTCAGGTTCCTTGAGCAAGCTGTGATCCTGGTACCTCAGCTACGTAAGCACTCAGCTTGCAGGGCATGAACTTAAGGAACACTGTGACTTGAAGTTTAGCTCCTTAAGGCCACATGACAGCCAAAGCAAACAACAGACTTTGAAAATTCTTCTAACAATTGGCTCTTAGTTTAGCTAACAGAGCTATGCAGATCTACAGATTTATCTTAACAAAAGATCTACTTTCTCCCTTGGACTGCCCAATGCTCAACATTCTTTAGGATTTGGGTAGGAGCATGTGCTGGCATAGACCCATTCTGGCACCTAAAGCAGATTTTTCACCATGTTCACACATTCCCAGATCCTGATTACCTCTTAAGTTGACATAAATATTTGTGCAGCCACAAAATGATGGAAGAACCCCAGCAGATAAAACTTAACATGGTACAAGAACAGATGAAGAATGTTTAAAAAAAGGAGTTGTACATGATAGACATTTTGCAAGATATCGTTGTCTTAAGATATTTAAGTTCCAAAGTCCCAAAGGCATGTGTTTTTCATTACCTCTCCCAGATAAAATTTCCAAAACAAACTCTAGAGATTGCTTTGTTTAAATTTTTATAGAGTAAAATAGACAGTAGAGATTCTTTTATAGCTTACTTATTCCAAATAAAAGTATACTTAGCAATTAGTAGATAAAAAGCATTAATAAACCTAATTATTTACTGAAAATACTGCTACTACATAAAATCAAGTGTATCATGTATCGATACACTGTAACAAACTTAAAACATTGTCCAACCAGTACAACATTCCAACATTCTACAGTATAAGATTATTTTGTTTCTCCCTACCATTATAGTTTCTCCTAGTTAAAAAGAAGAAATATCTACTGAATAGAAGCCAGTGCCCAATGGCATAACATTTTCCTTCTTCTCAAGCAATTTTTTTTTCTGCCAGATATGAATAAGAAATCACAACAGAATGATAAAATTGTATAACATAGACTAAGTCATACCCATTCCTCTCATGTTTGTTTTCTTTGTGAAGTCACCAAAATTTGGTACAAACAAAAATATCTGACATGCAGGGATGGCAATCTGAAATAAGATACTGAAGTATTTACTAGAAAGAATGACTGCATCTATACAGTCCCCAAAATCAGTTTCTGAACATACTGGCAAGAGAATTTTATTCATTTAATGACATTGTGATGCTCCTTAGAATGGCAAAACCGCAACAGCAAAATAAATAATAAGATACTGATAGAGAGAATTGTATGATGAAAAAAATACAGGGTACACTCTTTTTAGTACTGTGTCCTTAACTTCCATTTAACTCACACATTAGATTAATCTAGACAACCCAGAAATGCCATAATCTTCACACAATCAATGAATGGTTTGTTCAGGTTATAGAGAAACTATGTCAGAGTTTCAGAAACCTGATCTGGCTCTAGGTGTAGCCAGGGTGATTCTAGCACAACTACTGTAACTTCATCCAGTCTTATTAGTTAACATTCACAAACATCTATGGATTGTTCTCAGAGCCAGCTGAGATACAATGCTGCAAATTGTAAGACCTCCCACTACATGGTGCTACAATACTGACTTGGAAATAAAGCTAATCATTACAGAAGCACATAACTGCAGAATGGTTAACGTTGAAGGGACCTCCAGAAGTCATTGGGTCTGATCCCAGCTCAAGCAAGATCACCCAGAGCCAGAACCATTTCCAGATGACTTTTGATGATCTCCAAGCATTAAGATTTCACATCCTCTCTGAGCATCTTGTGACAATGCTCTGCCAACCACACAACAACAAAAAAAATGTTCTTTCATGTTCAGACAGAACCTCCTGCCCTGTATTGGGCACCACTGAAAAAGAGCCCGACCCACTTCCAACTATAGATCTAAGCTCTTCTGGCATCATAAGGTGGCTCTTTAATGTATCCCATTTCAGCACACCCTCTGATTTATACAATGTCAGAATTTTTATGGTTTTTGAGTTTTTAAAGTCTTTCACTATACTGGATAACAGAAGACTGATGGTATAAACATCCTGTTGTACTTGCCTGGTCTCCAAACAGCCTGCCAGGAAGAAAGTGGCTGTAAAGCATAAATAAGTTAGCTATCCCCAATTCTGACAGTTCTCTGAAGGGCTTTTTAAACAAACAAATCACATACAAATCAGATGGGAAGTGCTCTTCCCCTGAAAAATGACCACAAGCAATTAGGATTTAATTACTGAGGAAACAATGAAAAATGTTAGTCATTCACATAAGACAAACAAGCAGAGAAGTAAATAATCTCACTGCACAAATTCTGTTCCAACCAGCTCTAACTCTTTGCTTGCTACTTCTAGTACACTTTCCCTCTGTTTTGAGAAGACATCAACCCAGGAAAAATATAACAAATTTGGAATGGTTTTTTTTTTTTTTCTTCTCCCAATTTGGCATATTATTTAATTATATAAGTTGGTGGTTCTCTCAGTAATTATAATCCACTGCAGCAAACCATCACAAAACTAGGTATTTTTTTTTTTTAATAAGATACTGAGATAAAATAGATGTACCCGTGACATATAAATACAGATATTTACTACCTCTTCCAGTAGTTACCAAAGTATTTATAAATGCCATGATACTGAAAAAATGTTTCAATGAGTTACTTTTTTTTAAAGTAACATCAGTGTTGGCAAACTACACAGGAAGCTTGACAGGGGCTGCAATGAAAACTAAAGATTAAGTTAAAATCGCTGTTAAATAGTTAATAAAGAAAACATAGCAGTGTGAAGCTTCCACTCTGTATGCACGTTACTGGAAAAATAAGCCAGTTATTAACTATAGAAAAATAGAAATCTCCTTACTGTCAAACTTAACTGTCCATTTTACTTCCATGTTCTGCCATGAGAATTATAATAATGATAAAATGCACCATCTCTCTCCAATCACTATTATTTTTCTATACTTTCATCCTTTACATCTATACATTTTGCATCTAGAATTCGTCATATATACATTTTTTGTATCCAATAGGCAACACCAATGTTAGATCTCGAAGGTACTCTCTGAACATAGAAGCAGGAAAGAAAGAGATGCCTCCAGCCTAGTCAAATCACTTCTCCAAGTTCTGAAAGCTATTCAGACCACTTTCAGAGGAATTATTATCTCAAAATAAAGGTACCCAAGATTTGTGCAATCAAGTACATTTTACAGAATAGCTTCACTAAGTCATAGTAGGAAAAAAATAGCTGCATTAGAAAAAGACAATGTCTAGTCTGGGGAGATAAGATTATTGTAGAAAATTAAAGCAGTAGAATGCTAGAAAAATGAGCTGGAGTTCTAATGAGAAATGGATTCAAGTGAGTTAA